CTACCAGAGTGTGCATAACTTGGAAGTAAGCAACTTTAGGTCACTGCCATGCCTTCAACAATGAGCAAAACCCACACCGAATAGTCTGCAATGAAAGACCCAGACAGGACAAAATGAGCAACAATTCATATGAGAAAGGCCTATAATGCCAGCTGAAAGCCAATAACAACAAATAAATAAACCATGTTTTCCCAAAGACTAAAGTGGTACACATCTAAAGATTAAATGTCTAGAGGTCACAAACACTCAGAGAACAGCATTACCTTGTGCACACCAAAATATAAGTAAATAGATAAGTCTGTATTTAACTATTAAGCTTGTGTCTATTAATCATCAGCTTTGAATTCCAAATGTGTATTCAAATGGGCGAAAATAACTTTTGTTGATACTTTTTGTGAAATCTGGAATTTTATTCTATTTTAATGTCCATAATCGAAAGGCTTTGTCCTTTCACAATACCAATTAGTTAATTTTTTTTTACCTAATTCCAGTTTGAACACATCTCTAACTTAATTATTGATTCTTGTCAATTAAGATTGAAGCAAAGCTGGGTTTGAACTTAGTCTCAAAGATGACAGGCTATTGATTCCTGTAGCTAGACTTCTTAGACTACTCAGCTACCGAGGGCCCTATACCGGTATCAGATATAAAATATACACTGTATTAGTAGTTTTCATGATGAGCTAAAAGTTGTATAAATGATATCTTATGATAATATATGACGGATTTATTAATAGTAAATTTTTATTTGCTTGACTACACTATCATATATGCTGCTGATTAAATAAATCCTTGCCCATAACAATTTGTTGTTAGCTTCTGCGTCATTTGGTTTCTGGTGGAGAATTCTCATTGGAAATCGTACCACATCTTCTTATTTTTATATTTATAGTCTTTCAGGCTACTTCCTCTATTGAAAGTGAAAAAAGTGATTATCCTGATAATAAGAACAGTTTATTTTTATGAAAACTTGTACAAATTATTTACAATATTATAATACACATAATAATTTCAATAAACATTTACCATAATAGTTAAACATAAATATATCTTATAACAGCTATACAAAGATTTAAAAACCTAATTGGAAATGTATGCATCATGATCCCTTAATTGGAACAATAAATATTCTTATTTTTACTATTCTTGTATGAAAGAGGCTGATTACATAATTATCCTAAGGAGGTAGATGGGAAGGATATTCAAACACTTCAAAAGACAAATACAAAAGACTTACTGAATAAATACAAAAATAAAACCTCCAGCATTAATGGGCCCATAAAGCCAAAACATATACAGAGGCCATACAAAGACCATGTCTCCAAATAATTCAGAGTATAGAGAGCCCTAGGACATTTTCCAATACAATTATCAATTTGAAATTATTAACTTTTGTAAAATTCTCTTCCAGCTTATATCATGTATATTGTTACCTGCATGATCATGAGAAGAACTGTACTAAATCTCTCCAAAATTATATTGTAACCTGCATGATCATGAGAACTGTACTAAATCTCTCCCCAGCTTATATTGTAACCTGCATGATCATGAGAACTGTACTAAATCTCTCCCAGCTTATATTGTAACCTGCATGATCATGAGAACTACTAAATCTCTCCCCACTTATATTGTAACCTGCATGGTCATGAGAACTGTACTTAACCTCTCCTAGCTTATATTGTAACCTGCATGATCATGAGAACTGTACTAAATCTCTCCCAGCTTATATTGTAACCTGCATGATCATGAGAAGAACTGTACTAAATCTCTCCCAGCTTATATTGTAACCTGCATGATCATGAGAACTATACTAAATCTCTCCCAGCTTATATTGTAACCTGCATGATCATGAGAACTGTACTAAATCTCTCCCAGCTTATATTGTAACCTGTATGATCATGAGAACTTTACTAAATCTCTCCCAGCTTATATTGTAACCTGCATGATCATGAGAACTGTACTAAATCTCTCCCAGCTTATATTGTAACCTGCATGATCATGAGAACTGTACTAAATCTCTCCCAGCTTATATTGTAACCTGCATGACCATGAGAAGAACTGTACTAAATCTCTTATAATAATCAACAATAGACAACAAAATCACAAAACTTGAGAACAGTGAAACATTTGACATCAAGGAGCATCATAATTGAATTTCAACATATTGTCAACCAATAAAGAGCTGAAAAAACAAACAACCATTTGGTTAAATTTTAGCATACATAAGCTAAGAACAAGAAACTGACATATCAGCAAGGACCATGGTTGAGAGGAAAAGAAACAAATAGTTTACAATGCTGCAAACAAAGCTATACAGGTTCATGGTATATCAATTTTCATAAATGTTGACAACAGGAATTGATAAATAGTATAAAACTTTGTTAAAATTCAAACACTTTGTATTTTGGGTGCCACTTAGAAAATGATAGCTGACCAATAATTTATGACAACAGGAATCAATTTAGAATAGCATATTATACCCTTATATCAATTATTTTGGGATCCTAACATAAAAATACGTTTCTCAAAATTTGTGATTTTTTCAAAAAAAAGTACATTTTGAACACAATTTTTGTTATTTTAGACACCTAGGATCAATTTAGCATAGCATATTATAATCCATTATTACATTGGTAGCAATGAATTACATTGATTTCCCAGTCAAATAAAAACTGATAATTTCACATGTGAAATAAATGTGGTTACTGTAAATTCAGAAATTATTGCGATGTTTTTATTATTGCGAAAAATGCGACAGGGTTATAATCGCAATAATTAAAACTCGCATTTTGAAATTTTTTATATGAATTAAACAGGATTTTTCTCAATATCGCAAAAATTAAAATCGCATTTTAGTCTAAAATGACAAAATCGCAATAATAAATGCACGCAATAATTTCTGAATTTACAGTATTTCACTCTATGACGTCATACAACAATAGGCATTGTCAAGACGTCGATAACGTTGGATCAAAACAAATTGTGAATGCGTAGAAAAAAGATATAGTTCCTTACATTTTCTACATTAATTTTATTAAAAAAAGCCATTTCCCAATGTAATAAAAAGAATAATTAATCAAAGAATTCAAATATCGAAAAATATTCAACTCATGACCGAACAACACTGATAATTAACTCATGCGCTACACGCATTCGTGAATTAATGTGTTGTTCGGTCACTCGTTGAATATTTTTCTCTATTTGAATTCTTCGATTAGTTATTCTATAATTAATTTGTTGAAATCCTAGCACAAATGTAGGTTTCTAAAAAAAACTAGCGATTTTTTATCAAAATCAAACTTTTTATAATACAGCCAATTCCCCAATATCCTACCCCCTCCCCCTTTTTAGTCATGTTAACATCTCATAAGGTTACATTTTGATATCAAGAATCAATTTGGAATACTGTGGATTCATTATTATTCGTTGGATACCAATTTTCGTGGATTTCGTGGATCAACGAATAACAAATTTTCTATAGGCTTATATGCAGACTTCGGCAAAACCACGAAATTAAATATCCATGAACATGTAAGTTTTCCTTATTCACGAAAATTGGTTCCCACGAAAATAAATGAATCCACAGTAGCATGTTATACCTATGTTGAATTTCTATTACGTGGTACAAAAAGATGCTTTTGAAAATTTGATTTTTTAACAAAATTCATCACAATTTTTTTTTAAATTTCACAAAAAGTAAACAGGGACTTTCCTTTTATAGGTATTAACACTGCATAAAAATTATGGAAATCCGTTGAGGCAAGCTTGAATTATTGCAGAATATACATGATAACGAACAGATGGGTTACAATAGGGCACCGCTGACTTATTAGAGAAATAATAATAAAAAAAATGTACATGGTACATTCATAAATAGTATTAAACCCATAAAACAAAAAGTATATATTGTTAAATTACAAATATTTAAAGTATTGCTAACATTAATATTGATTCATATTAATGACTGAGTGTTAGACTGGTTGATTGTTGGTTGCTTAACGTCCAGTGGCAACTATTTCATGCATATTCAGGACGATAGACTGGATTGAAATTAACTAAGTTATAAAATCTAATTATTTTAGTTTATTGTAATGGGCTTTCTTGCAATGGTTGAAACCATACCTTTTCAAAATTCAAGTACACAAATGTGCATATAAAGTGATGATATATCACCTTCCTGCATTTGTCTCTTTAATGACAGAAGTCTTATAAAAAGGGGATCTACAGGGATCACCATGACCTATTTAAGCGTGGCGCTGCGCCACGCTTAAATTTCTAGCACCACGCTAAAATTCCCAGCGCCACACTTTTTTTTATTGTATGCCACACTTGAAAATTTAATTGATTGAGGTAAAATTTCAGATAATTATCCCTAATCCAATTATCATGTCAGTGGCAATTAAGAAATCTAATTATTGTTAATTGGTATGAACATTGCCTCAAGGGATGTACACTGACAGCTGATTATATTATTTACCTGGTTTGTGGTTGAACAAGGAAACGACCAATGAACGATCATGACCCAGTTTCTTCAATTTGAAAAGTAAACATTGTTTGCAAACTACCCATGCTACCGGTATTCCATAAATGCAAATGTATGACTGTACCTTAAATGGAATGTTATATCCTAAATAAATTAATAAAAGCAGTAATCCAGAAAACAAATGAATTGCCTGACCACATGTTCCTTTTGTTGACAATCATGTGGCATGTCACATGTGCTCTTTTAGCGGGAAAATACTGGGGATCACCTAAATAACAGACAACATTGTCTGGTTATTAATAGACAGTTAGATCAACAACTAGGACATGAAGGATAGGAGTGTCATTATCTTAAAACTCATTTAAAGTATGAAAAGTGTAAAACTGGATATATGTTATTCCTTTACATAATTGTATTGGAAAAGAGAGGAGTTAATTTAATAAAATTCTACATAACAAATATGATCAAACTGCTAAATAGGCTAAATTTGGTTGAAATGACTTTGAAATTCTGTGACTAAATATGTTATTTATTTTATTATTAATTTCTTTATCTTTTTTACCATGTGGTTTTCCATAAGACAATTTAAATTAAATCTAAATTGGTCAGAAATCTATTTAAAATAATAAAATTATATAATGCATACTTTATTACATGAAAAGCAATGTTATATGTGGATTCCTCACTTTAATATCCCTGCAATCTAGGAAGCCACATTAGGTGTTTACTTCTCCCTGTTAAATATATATATATGTTCCTACAAGTTCGTTGACCACTAATAATAAATAAGACTAACTACAAAATGTATGTGAGACCCCCCTTTCCAAATTAGCTATAGCTATATATAACAAATACTTGTAAGGCATATAACTTGTAAGGCATATAATTAACAATTTGTGCGCAACTGGAAACAATTCGACAATGCAACACACAATCTCTGATTTGATGAACTTTCTCCCCCACCCTTGAATTTCATTCTGTGGTGAACCCTGGATCTACATTATCAAATTTAACAGAACAGAACCTATACAAATAAAATTTACATATTCATGATATTAGTCAGAAGTTAAAAGAGGTATTCTGTTTAAACACAGTCCATCCTGTATTGCATGCTAAACTCTGGGTCTCAGAAATTAATTACTGATGGTTACTGGTGCTGAACCAATACTTTTTGAAACCCAACCTTTTTCTTTAAATTATACTTGAAATTTATTTTTTTTATCTGAATATGGTGGGTTTTGAACTTTTTTCATTATCATATTCAATGCATTTTTTGGTAAATAAAAATTCTAAATTATGGGTTTTATAGGTCTTAAGATACTCAGATTATAAAAATTCTCTTTTATGACTTGTCTAAAAATAAATCACAATTTTGGGTGTTTTTCATTTTTTTTTACAACTCTTTTTATCTCATGACACTTCCAATCAAACAAATATTTCACTAACAGATTCACTTAAATAATAGTTTACTAAAATGTAGATAAACAAAATCAAAAACCAAAATCTAAACCACATGTATACAAATGAATATTTTGATCTATATATATTCTAATACATCAAAAGTATCAGTAACAGCTTCTTCTACAACCATTTGCTCTTCCATCACTTCCTCATCCTCACTGTCATTATCTGTACTACTTTCACTTTCATCAGGTGATGGTCTCTTTAGAGGCTTCTTCGCTCTTTTAACTTGACCCAGTAACCCATGACCTTTGACAACATGTTTTTGGAATGCCTGCTGATCCTCAAAGCCTTTTTGACAAACTGAACAGGTATATGGTTTGACAGTTCCATCCTGTCCATGGACATTTCTCAAGTGTCTTCTGACACCTGCCGGCTTGCAGAAGACATTATGACAGATAGGGCAAGTTCTTCTCATATGGCTCTCTTTTATATGTTGTCCATGTACTACATGGTTTTTGTAGTTTTCCTCAAATCTAAATTTCTGTTTACAATCAAAACAAAAAAATGATTTTCCTTCTTCATGAATCCTCCTTATATGTCTCCTCATATTAATGACATTTTTTCCACAAAGTTCACAGAAATTGAAAGGTTTTTGCTCTGGAGGCAGGTGCTGCAGTTGATGTTTACGTAGATGTTCAGGACGAAAGAATGCCTTACCGCAGATTGTGCAGATTTCATTTCTCTCCCCAGTATGGGATTTTGTATGACGATAAAGGTGTGCAGATTGACGGAAGCTCTTGTTACAAATGGTACATACAAATGGCTTTGCACCTGAGTGTAAACGCATGTGGTTTTTCAGGTTGTCTTTCCTATTGAAAACTTTTCCACACTCCTCACATGTGAAATTTGTCTGTCTGGTACGGAACAACACTTCTTCTTTTTCTTCTTTGACTTTTATTGTATCGTCTTCAGCTTTATTCAGTGTTTCTAACTTATCAGAATCTCCCTTGGAATTTTCATCAAACATATTTTCTTTAGTTTTACTTTCATCTGCTACATCCATTTCAATTCTTCTATCTTCGTCATTTTTCTCTTCTCTTCCGGGATCCACATCTGTGACATTTTCAGTTGCAGTATATTCTTTCAATTTTTCTGAAGTATTCCCGTCTCCTGACTCTGAGATATTTTCAGTTGTCTCTGGTACAATTATCTTGTCTATGTGTTTGAAATTAATATGTGTCTGTAAAGTTTTTTCATATTTAAACTCTTTTTTACAAATCTTACATGGGAAAGGTCCAATAAGGTGTGTTTTTTTATGGAGTTTATAGGAGGTCTCCCGAAAAAAGCTCTTGTAACAGATCTCACACGTAAAATTCTTTTCATCAGAATGAATCAAAATGTGCTCTTTAAGATGTTGCATTGTTAAAAATAGTTTATGACAATTTCCACACTGAAAATTACGAGGCCTATTGGCATGCTGACCTTCAAAGTGAATTTTCAATTTTTCTTCAGTATCAAACCTCCGTCTACACATTTCACATTGATAAGGCCTTTCAGCATGTACCATCATATGTTTCTCATACTCTTTTGTAGTTATATAACCCTTACCACATAAACTGCAAAGAAACTTCTTTTGTGCAACATGCTGCAATCTGACATGATTTCGAGCTGAGTGAAGTAACGTAAATCTTGCATCACATACTTTACAACTATACCATATCTTTTCCCCAATAATTAAAGTCTCTATCTTGTCTATAGTTTTATCATTTCTAGGTGGTTCTGTGGTAGATTTTGTAAATACCAAATGTATTCGTTTCTTGCCCGTGCTTGAGGGTATGAATATCTTCTGGCTTTCATTTCCTCCATTAAACTTTATTTCTATACTGCTCATTATCAATTATCTTCTTTCAAACTATGCAGGAATGCTTTGTCTGTAAAAGAATAGAAAAAACATCTAGTTCTCATACACATGAATCCATGATACAGTCAAAAACTAATAAAAATAAATGGGGAATGTGTCCCCATGGACACCGATGATGACCCCTCTTGCATACAACATTATAAAAGAACATAACTCAAGAACGGTAAAAGTGACGCTTCCCAAATTGGTACTTGACCTGAGTTTTGTGGTAATAAGCATTAAGTATAAGTTTCATAACATTTGGTTGATGCAAACTAAAGTTTGAGATCGGAAACAAAAAATTCCGCAATTTTTCCATTTGTAAAGGGGCATAACTCTATAATGGTAAAAGTGACGCCAACAAAATTCAAATTGGATATGTGTATTGTGGTAATAAGCATTGTCTATAAGATTCATAGGGTTTAGTTGAGGCAAACTAAATTTAGAAAACGGAAACTAAAAAATCAGCAATTTTTCCATTTGTAAAGGGGCATAACTCTAGAATGGTAAAAGTGGCGCAACCAACATTCAAAATTGATCTGTGTTTTGTGAAAATAAGCATTGTGTATAAGTGTCATAGCATTTGGTTGAGGCAAACTTAAGTGAGAGAACTGAAACAAAAATTCAGCAATTTTTCCATTTGTAAAGGGGCATAACTCTAGAACAATAATAGTGACACCCCCAAAATTCAAAATTGATCTGTGTTTAGTAGTAATAAGCATTGTGTATAAGTTTAATAACATTTGGTAGAGGCTAACTATAGTTAGAGAACGGAAACAAAAAAATCAGCAATTTTTACCTTTGTAAAGGGGCATAACTCTAGAACGGTTAAAGTGACACCACCAAAATTCAAACTTGATCTGTATTTTGTAGTAATGAGCATTGTATATAAATTTTATAGCATTTGGTTGAGGCAAACTAAAGTTAGAGAACAGAAACAATAAATTTAGCAATATTTCCATTTATAAAGGAACATAATCATACTCTAGAACAATACAACTACAAGTGACACCCCGAAAATTCAAACTTGATCAGTATTTTGTGGTAATAAGCATTGTGTATATAAGTATCATAGCATTTGGTAGAGGCAAAGTTAAGTTAGAGAATGGAAACAAAAATTCAGCAAATTTTCCATTTGTAAAGGGGCATAACTCTAGAACGGTTAAAGTGACGCCACCAAAAATCACACTTGATCTGTATTTTGTGGTAATAACCATTGTGTATAAGTTTCATAATATTTGGTAGAGGCAATCTAAAGTTAGAGAACGGAAACCAACTTTGGGATGGAGGTACGTACGGACGGACATACAGACGGACAAGGGTAAAACTAAATGCCCTCTCCTCTACAACGTGGGCATAAAAAGAGTGCATATACTGAACTGTCTCCCTTTGCCTTAATACTGTGGATTCATTTATTTTCATGGGATATGAATTTTCGTGGAATTAGGAAATATTGTATTTTCATGGATATTTTTGATCTCATGGTTTTGCCAAAGTCTGCACACAAGCCAATAGAAAATGTGTACCTTGTTAATCATTTAGATTCATGTTTCACATTTACCGTGCCACGAAATCTACAAAAATTGGTATCCCACGATTGCCATAATAATGAATCTACAGTAATTATGGTTGAATGTTTATGCTGAAAATCTTTTAGATTAAGGTCTTACTTCAGGTACATTTTTGTACATGTACAATGTATTACTGTACATAAACTGAAAATTGTAATCATTGATCCATGAAAAAAAAGGACAAGGTTGGATTATCCCTATCAGACTGGCCTGTACTTCTACACAATTATTTTATACACTAAATAAAATGCTTCACCAAGCGCAGCCTGATACGACTGCAGAGATCAAACCCTGAACAGTTCGGGCAAGTTTGGACACAATATTCAAGCTTGATGTATATACTGTCTGAATTTGGATTGTGATCAAGTTTTTGACATAATATAGGTTTCTGACACAAAATAAATGTGGTCAAAGATCTTAAAAATTTCAAATGGGACATTTAATTTACCTAGTATGGTCTGATATCCAAAATCTAACAACATGGTCATATTCAGCACATAAAAAAAACACCAAAAATTTAATTTTAGTTGAAATCAAACACAGTTTAATTTTGGACCCTTCAAACCTTAATATGGACTAATGTGAAAACAGGGCCCAAAATAAAAAATCTAAATGCACAATAACATTCAGCATATTATAGAGCTGCAATAATTCAGTTTCAACTTTAATTTTGGACTCTTTGAACCTCAATGTAGACCATTTAAAAATGGGGCCCAATATCCAAAATAGTAATACAAGGTTAGAACCCCCTAAAATTAAAGACTTTAAATTAATCCCATTGAAATTGGTTAAAAGATTAGTATTTATTTTCAATTGAAGATTTCTTGCTATTGCGCAATACTGTGCAATTGAAGATTTCTTGCTATTGCGCAATACTGCGCAATTGAAGATCTCTTGCTATTGCACAATCCTGTGATATTGCCCAATAATGTGCTATTGTGCAATACTGTGCTATTGCGCAATACTGTGCAATTGAAGATTTCTTGCTATTGCGCAATTATATAACTGTGCAATTGAAGATTTCCTGCTATTGCGCAACAGAAGATTTCTTGAAATTGTGCAATACTGCGCAATTGAAGATTTCTTGCTATTGCGCAATACTGTGCAATTGAAGATTTCATGCTATTGCGCAATACTGTGCAATTGAAGATTTCTTGCTATTGCGCAATACCAAAGTTTTTAAGACAGAATAACAAAGAACTAGAAAATGCTGTACTGCATAATTTTCCCTATACATCAAGTATTTTTTTTAAATTGCTCAGTCAGTGACTTGCATCTTTGCAGGCCCAGTGGCAAAACAGATAACATGAGAACAACAGAAAAGTCATTCTTCTTATGAAAAAGTCCAAAAAAATCAATAGTAAAACAATACTTGTAACGATACTGATTTAAAGTTATTTAAAAACAAATCACTGACTGACCTAAGGGGGCTGCTCCAGTCATGCTTCAGTGATTCAGTGGCCCCCCCCTGGATCCGCCTATGTATAAAAAGACAACATACATGACATATATTGATTACAAAAATTGGAAAAATCAAGTACATGTACATACAAAATCTAAAGATCACCAGTAATGGAGTGTTCCACATAGTAAGCCTCATAGTCTTTAGCATGTTACAATTTCCCATAATATACCCATTTTTGACATCTAAGTTTTCGAGTACACCGGTCTGCTTTTTTAATGCAATTTTTCAATATAAAAATATTGTCTTTTCGTGAATATAACCATTTAAAAGTTGTGTTGTGCAGGTTAAAAAATTAAAGAAAAATATTTTTACAAAGTAGTTTATCCGTTTTTACTACAATGTATATCATTGTATATCTTTGAATTTGTAGAATTTTAAAAAAAGGTTGTTAGATTTCTTTGCATGTATTTGCAATGTTCTCAATCTATTCACATTCAATGTTTACATTAGGATAAGTTCTGTTTAAATATACTTAGTAACTTAATTTCAAAAGTGTTTATCTTTGCTGAATATCAATCGATTCCACTGGATTTTCCCCCTAAACTTCTCTGATCTACATGATCTAGCTGCACACATTTACAGATTATTGGCATGTTCCAGAGAGGTTAACAGCCAGTAGAAAAATAAATTGAAGTTGGTACTCCAGGAATTTATTCACATAGCAATAAAAACCAGTTTTACACAAAGCTCCAATAGCCTGCTGTACTCGTTGTTTGCAATCTTTAATGAAGGTGGTAACATTATACGGAAACTTTGTTTTCTATTCAATCTATTTTTATTGTGACTATTTGACTAGCTGTGGAACCGTAGCTCTCGTCCTTATGATATTTTTGGACAATTTGATGACCATAGACTCAGTATCATACATGTAGAGTATGCAAAAGTAAAAAAAATATCACAATTATGGACCTCAGGCTAAGACTAGGAGCTATGGTTCTGCAGCTACTATTTTACCAGAACAATTTCCTCTAACTTTATAATTAATAACGTGCTTACTAAAACGGAAGATCAAGTTTTCAGTGTTTGCAGGGGAGGTAATATTTTGGCACTAGATTTCCCACTGAGGTCTATCTGACTGATACTAACTTTGCAACCTTGCTGGCAAACTACTCGTAAAGTTCAGAACAGCTACTGGCTCATCTTTTAAAGTGCACAAATTGATGGCGTAGTTAAAATATTTTTTTGTGATCGAAATCGCCAAAAATAGTTAATAAGTATACATTTCATAATATAATTTCTGATGAAACTTCCCTCCAACTGAAAACGGAAACATTTACAATCATGTAATGTGATTACAATAACGGAACGCATTTTAATTTCCGGAATGCAAGATCTGCAAGATACAGATATTCAGTACTGTTTTACCAGAGACATATAATACAATGTCTCTGGTTTTACCTTTTGTTTGACACTGTGATCGGTATCTGTATTAAAAATTAATCCGTTGTAAATTTGAAAGCATCGAGGGGATATTATCAATGACCCGTTATTTTTCCTCGGCCAGGCGGTTCAGTAGACTTGCTACATGTCCCTTCCTAATTTTCTTTTTTAATCTAGCAGTTCATGTGAGTCAAGAAGATAAACTATATTGATGATTTGAATATGAGGTTTTTTTTTAAACAATTATCTAGAAATATTAATATTTGGTTATTTTTTTACGCAAAAATCAACTTATCGAAGAATTTTTCATAATATTCATATTTTCTTAAAGTTCTGTATGATATATATTTCTTCGGTAGTGTACTGGCACGGGAAAGAGAATTATATAGACACTGGCTACGGTTACCCGCAAAAAGTAACAGTAAGAAATAATAATTGTTACTTCCGAGGCTAATTACTGAAATGTATTTCCGAAGAGGGACCCAATTTCATACGGAAATTGTAGGTAACAATAATTTCCCGATGCTACACACAAAAAAGACATAATTTGCAAATGTAAAATTTTGCGGGTAACAATAACTGCAGGTAACAATAAATTATTTTTATTGTTGTTACCTGCAGTTATTGTTACCCGCAAAATTTTACATTTGCAAATTATGTCTTTTTTGTGTGTAGCATCGGGGAATTTTGTACTGTATTCGTGCCATTGCCCCGTATACTTCGGATTACATATTTGAAAAAAATGTATATGAATAAAAAAATATTTAATGAATATTGCAAGGATAATTTAAACATTTAAAATTTCTGCCACCAATTCAGAATAGATTAAATCTTTGTTTCTTGTCTCCTTTTAACAAGAATTTCTTCTATATAATTGAATAAAATTTGCATCTTGAAATCGTTGAAGTTTATAATTAAAATTTTGAAAAGATATAAACTTTTCACTGGCCACAAGTTGGACATCTGCTCATTCGAATCCATACTGAAGAATAGCTAGTGAGTTATCTTAATCGACTTCCTTGCTAGGATTGTTCGCCATCAATAGTTGGCCATATATCTGGAAGTTTAATCATAAAAAATGAAAACAACACGTTATAAATTTCATGCGTCCGAAGCGCTTTTCTGGATTTACCTTCATGCAGGAATGCTCAAAGCCGAACATTTAAAAGCCAAGAATGTATACCGAAACAGTTGAAGAGCTTTATGACCAAAAAGATAAAAAAAAAAATTTGCCAAATCCATCTAAGGTCAACTTTGCCTGAGGGAGTTGAAACCTTAGTTTTTTATAATTTAAAAATTTAATAATGTTTTTACATCATAATTCAATTGTTTTAATTTATTTCAAAGATTGCTCGCAAATTAAACATTTTTTTATATATTTTGAGGGTAACAATAAAAAATTATATTACTGTTACCTGCAATTTCCAGACGGAAATTGGGTCCCTCTCCAGAAATACATCTCGGCAATTAGTTTCGGAAGTAACAATAATTATTTCTTATCGTTACTTTTTGCGGGTAACCGTAGCCAGTGCCAATTATATATTTGTACATTTTAGAAAACTTGTGTATAACACTAAAACTAAACTCTGGAAATACATGTGTACACAGGATGTTAATGTCACCTGATGGCTTTTTGTCTTTAAATCACGACTGAAAATTTGTTGTTATGTAACATTATAACTTAAATCTGAGTTAACCTGTTCGTATATTGGTCATATTCGTCTTAGAAACTTTAAAGGGACATTAACTTTAATATAATAGGTACAGAGCATTTATCTATTGTTATCAGGGATGGGCACGATTACTCACAAATGTAATCGATTAATAATCGATTACGTGAAGGTTTTTTGTGCAATCGATTAATATAATCGATTACTCTTATTTTGTATGTAATCGATTGCAATTGATTACTTTATATTACTTTTCGATTACTGTCAATTACATTCTATAAAATAATGAAGAAAGTTTAAACACAATTATGTTACTCAACTTATTTATAGTGGAAATTTAGAACTGTACAAAAATAGCTTTCAAAGCATTGTTTCCAAATGTTATGCTGACAGTTGTTTTTTGTAGTCCCTAGTGTGGACAGTGTGTTACTTGCCATTTTTTTTTATACCCCTTCCAAATTTATTTCTCCATGTTTTATGACTCAAATAGCAAGTAGGGGGGTGAAATGACACTGTAAAAAAAATTGGGTCATGAATTTTAAAGTAAAGTAGTGATTTGGTCCAGCTGAAAAATGTTAAAAATTAGCACTTCGGAAGCTGTCAAAAGATTTGAAGACCCTCTTAACATAAAATTGTCCATATTTTGAGTTAGAGCCGATGAAGCTTTCTATAATTTTGATATAATTTGTCCCAAAAGTAGTACAACACACTGTAAAAATATTATTGAGAAAGCGCAGGTGGGATTTTTTTAATTTTCATTTATTGTCTAAAAGAAATGCACTACGAAATAACTGTGTACTCGGACCACTTACAGAGGATTTAAACTATTTAAAAATTCTTGAGTGAGTGATGATAAACATGAGAACATTCTTTAAATGACATCGACCATTGAATCAATCGCTTCTTTATATTGTAGGTCATTTTCTTCATAGTTTGCAAAATTTTTGCTGTCATACTTAAGTTTGATATTTACTCATTATCAACAGGTATATTTGAATATAATTCATTACAATGTGAGAGTTTTCCTCTGAAAAAAATTATATAAAAAAAGAAGAAGAATTAGTTCAGCTAATTTTAAAAGATGGAAATTTATAAGTACATGTATGAATTTATCCTTTTGTTTGGATAATCCCCCTAATTATGTAAATGCTCTTTTGTTCCGACGTTGGAAAGTTCCGGGCGGAAAGAACTAACTAGCCGAAAAGTTCCGGAGGAACTTATTAACTAGTTACTTTGTTCTTCCTCTGGTTTAAAAGTTCCACCGAAACAAAGTGACTAGTTGAAAAGTTCAAACGGAACATATCAACTAGTTAGAAAGTTCCTTTTTGCCAAATTAGTCAAAACCGGAACTAACAAACTAGCCAAAAAGTTCCAACGGAACTTATCAACCAGGCAGAAAGTTTCATGTGGAGAATTGATGCAAAGTAAAAGCGCAACATATTATATTTGAACCTTTCAAAGGGAAACCAAGATACTGATTACAAAAGTCAAAAGGAACTTATCAACTAGCCACAAAGTTCCTCTTTGGCAAATAAGTCAAAACCGGAACTAACAAACTAGCCCAAAAGTTCCAACGGAACTTATCAACCAGTCACAAAGTTCCATTTGGAGATGCAAAGAACCACATGAGGAGGGGGGTATTCTTCCCTCTCTTGAGGGTACTATGAATACTAAATTTATTCCGTTTTATGTGAGCTATGAAATACAACTTAAATTTTGCATATTTGTCCCCAAAGAAACCACTTTCAGTGCGTTGGGTATACTTGTAAATTAATGATTTGCTCTTATATATACTGATACTCATTCTTCCCCCTCTTTCTACAAAAAGGACGAAATATGGTATATTCGGAACGATGTAACTAGTTGTTCTGTTCCGCCAGAACTATTCAACTAGCTACATTGTTCCGGGATTTTTCAACTAACTACTTTTTTCCGGAACTTTTCGACTGCACTCGGAATAAAACAACTAGTTGGAAAGTTCCATCGGAACGAAATAACTAGTTGAAAAGTTCCGCCGGAACAAAGTAACTGACGGAACATAGTGGCTGTTACAATTACAGGTTATAAAACTGCCAATGGAGAACCATTTATAACCTAAAGCAATATAATGTATTAAATCTCTCACTTAATTTGACATACATCCTTCTTTTTGTCAAGCTTGCGAAATTTATTTCGCGAAAGCGAGACTTGGCGATCCTAGATTCCTCAAAATCTTTGTCAAACATAATGGAATTTCGGGAAATTGGGACAGAAGCTTCTTTATGACCAAAATACAGTATCCAGGGCAAAATTTTGCAGATATTTAATTTTCATTTTTCCGTATTTTACTACTAAATGGACTTCGGTTTTTTTTTTCGAAACAGTTAAATTCGGGTTTTGTCTGAGATTAAAGTTTTTCATGCAGTCATCAATAACCGTTTTGTTTAATCGTCCAGTTGCAAGTTAAATGTATATACATGCAGGTCAAGATCATGATAATGATATATGAATGTTGAAACTGTTTTGGTCTACATTGCGCTGGACTTTTCACTTGTTTGTTAAAAAAAATGCAACAGTCCCAGCTTATTAGTGGGTGTGGCTTTTTTGCTAAGAGTTTAATTCCATACGACGACCTGTAGCTGTTTGTTTTTATAGGAACTTTTTTATTATGGGTTTAACAAGGAACGTATATACTGTTCCAAGGTTAAACGATCAGACTATTCATACAATATTGAAAACATTACATTTATGAAGCCATGGTTATATCTTATTGAATACTTCGCATAATATTATTCATGCTATCGACTTTGTGTTATGACCAGCATCAACTTTTCAAAAAGCTCCGTTTTACATGACAATCATATGGTTTAATTTGTTTATCTATATCCGCCCGACACAAGCCAAAGAGAATAAATTATGTAGTGTCACTGTTGAATAATATACTGTTTTGGCAATTAATGCCATTACGTCAGCATGTATCTGGAAATTATTCTCAATCGCAAAAGATGATATTTCTGCACATAAACTTCCTCAAAGTTCGTGGAAGCTTCCAGGCCCTCGTTCCTTCTTTATCAAACATTTCGTTTTGGTTATTTGCAAGGTAAATTTCAAGTTTCCTTCAAATTTCTTTCCCAATTTCTCCCGTAATTTTCAAACACTAGGTCTCGAAATTTTACACAATATTTTTTTTACTTTATTAAACATAAACATAAACCGAAAAACCAGATGACACT